CAGCCGTGTGTAACGTGGTGGCACCTGCGAAGCCTGCCGCTGCTTTCTGACTGTACCCTTCGCAGGCGCGTAGGCAAGTTCATAAAGCATCCGCCTTCAAGTATTTTCATTATGTCTTATCCAAAAGCCAGAACGGTGAATTTAAGTCAACTCTGAAAGGGAGTACAAATTCACAGACGCCCATCTGCAGAGCTGAGAGCTTCCAGGCACAGGGCAGGGGTGTGTGCTGCACCACGAGACCGGGGCGGTGGCCTCTGCCCCTTTCGCCCTCTGGTTCTGCCTGTGCTGAGCTTTGTCCAGAAAGAGGGATTGAGAGCTCACACGTAGGCAGGGGATCTCAGCTACACTGAGCTGTCCATACAGGCAGCTTTAAATAGCAATGTAAATTATTTCTTCTTAGCTTGCATTTAATACAAGATCAAAAGCATCCTTGCTCGCTTTTCTGCTACCTCTTTCATAGCTGTGACCGCTGTTTTTTTCCTTCATTTTCATTTTTTAAGATGCACTTTTTCTTCTTTTGATAATGGTTTACTTTCTGACTGGGATTTTTTCTTCGTTTTTATTTAATGCATAGCTAACTTGTAAATGCTTTGTTCTTATGAACAGATGTTGTGCTGGTTTCTGGGTTTGAAAGCATATATGGTACTGGGGATGTAAGTGGAAGGGACAAGGAACATTTTATGGTAGTAACTCAAACCGAACCTTACCTTTCTTCTGTCCTTTAGAGCCTGTCGTTGCTGTCTGTGAAACTGCAGCCTGAGCTGTGCATGAAAGAGGAGAAGCCTGAGTCTCCCCGTTCCTGCATCTCCCCTTGCTTTTTCCTGCTCCTTGCTGCACAGTCCTTCTTTACCCTAGTGCTGTATTTGGTTAGCTTTCTGCTATTTCAGTGAGTTAAGCTAGCTCATGAAGTGACCAGCATGTGCTAGTGGAAGTTAAGCAGTGGGCACACGTGAGCAAGAGCAGAGGAACAGTGATAGGAGGTTCCCTTAAGAGTGTTGAGCTGTAAAGTATAGAATAGACTATTTCAGTTGGAAGGGACCTACAGCGATCATCTAGTCCAATGGCCTGACCACTCCAGGGCTGACCAAAAGTTAAAGCAGGTTTTTAAGGGCACTGTTCAAGTGCTCCTTAAACACTGATGGGCTTGGGGCATCGACCACCTCTCCAGGAAGCCTGTTGCAGTAAAGAAATGCTTCCTCAGGTCCAGTCTAAACCTCCCCTGGCACAGCTTTGAACCATTCGCACACATCCTGTCCCTGGATCCCAGGGAGCAGAGCTCAGCACCTCCCTCCGCACATCCCCTCCTCAGGTTGCTGTAGAGAGCAATGAGGTCACCCCTCAGCCTCCTTCTCTCCAAACTGGACAAGCCCAAAGTCCTCAGCCGCTCCTCACAGGACCTGCCTTCCCACCCTGTCACCAGCTGTGCTGCCCTCCTCTGGAGGCATTGAGGGGCCTTCACATCCTTCTTAACTTGTGGGGCCCAGCCCTGCACAGGCTGCTCGCGGTGAGGCCGCAGCAGGGCTGAATACAGGAGGATCATCACCTCCTCTGACCAGCAGCTCACGCTGTGTTTGATGCCGCCCGGGATGGGGCTTGCCCTCTGGGCTGCCAATACAAATAGGTAACTGCGAGATACTCTGTTCCTGCAGTTACCACAAAGCAGCTAGTGCCCAGTGGCAAACAAGGGGGTGGCCTGGAGTAGTTTACCCCCATCAGACTAGTCAAAGGTGTGTTTCGGCACATATTTCAATGTGGTGAACTCAATGTTCTGTTCTGTTCTTACATTTTTTTTATTATTTGAAATATTTATTCATACTCTGAGTGAAGAAAAATAAATAAATATTGTTTCTGGAGAAGGGTGAGACTTACATTGTAGAGTTTCCTGAATGTTTCCAGTTCCGCAGGCAGGCAGCTTTAGGCTTTAATGTTTGTAGCTTGTTTTGAAACTATGAAAGCAAGTGTTTAGGTTTTCATGCTTATGCCATGATATTTTGTTTCAACTGTGACCTGATTTTACCTTACTACTTTTGAGGGTGGAGATCCATTTTTCTGCAATCAATGTTGTGTTACGTGTAGAAATCACTTTTTACTGCACAGATGTCTGAAAGTGAAAGGGCTGAATTTAATGAAATAACTGTAGACTGTAAAATAATGGCAGAAACTCCCCCATCTTCACCTCCTTCCTTTCTCTTACAGGCAGAAATTTTTCAGGAATTTGCTGTTCAGGAGGAATCGGTGACGTTCCGGATCAATTTGTCTGTTCTTCTTGACTGCTTGACTATTTTTGGTACCAGTTCTTTGCCAGGTATGGTGCATGTTTACCTTGACAGTGTATGTGTATCGCGTGTAATCACGTAGTGAAACCTGTACATAGCTATAGGGAGATTTCCAGCCCTGGCAAAACTTCTGACTTCCTCACCTTAAGTCCTTCTGAGCACAGCCGCTATCGCTGTTAAGCAGGATCCATGCTGTTTACTTAAGCTAGTACAAGTGTGTGCTGTGGTAACAGTCGATGGAGAGAAGAAAGGAGCTGGCGGATGTGAGCCTAGCCAGTGTGACAGGGACTGCTGCGGCAGGAGAGGCTAAAAGAGGCTGATCCAGTGTGAAAGATGGAATAAAGGTCTGTGTCTGTGTGATGCTGTTGTGGCGACTGAGAAACAGGAGTCTTCCTGTGAAGGTAGTGTTTCCTGGGTAAGGCACAAAAGAATCGCTTTGTTTGGGGAGAGAACCCTTTTGTGGCATGTGGTGCAACTAACAGCCCCAGCTCGTACCCTTCCTCTGGTTTGGGGTTGAAGATCTCAAATAATTTCTGTATTCTTGATAAGAAAACATGTCAAGTAGTTTGCTCAGGCATCTCTAGCAAGTTGTGTGATGTTTAGGCTGGAGTTCTGATGCTGAGGCCAGTGCTGTACCCTAGGACTTACACGCACCGTGACTGCCTTTCCCATCAGTCTGTTTTCAGCCCAGGGCCCAGATCATCCACATCACGCAAACACTAATTTGTTCCCAACTGCCCTTCACTTAAGGGGAAAACCTGGGCGCAGCTGGCAGAATGGTTCCCCTGCAGCCCACTCAGGGCAGTCAGTATAGATGTAGAGCATGCCAAGGTTCCCCCTGCCAGGGATGGTGCTTCACGCTGTCACATGCTTTTTAAGTGGCCAGCAAGGCAGGCTGCACATACCCTCGGCATCAGGCTAAAAGACTACAGTTTGGGCAAGCTGGGGCAGTCTCTTATCAGAGCTATCACTCTGAGCTGGAAAAGCATGAAAGCTGTCAGTACATCTTAAGGCCACAAGGGATCCATACTGGGCCTACAGGGGACTCGGGCTGACAAGTTGCTGTGAACCGTAGCAGAAATCAGCACGCTGAGAGGTAGCGTAGGCATAGCTTGGAATTTGTCTTGCTAACAAAAAATTGTGTATCAGCTCAGTAATAAATGTGATCTCTTTTCCAATATTTCTGTGGTTTATGCAACCCTGGAACATCCAGATGCCTCAAAACCATGTAACAAGCGTATGCGTGAATTAGAAAATGTTCTGGGCTTGAAGAACCCCCTGCAGGGTTCCAGGTACAACCATCGGTTCAGTGTGCTCCTCCACCCGGTGCAGTAGCTGTTACGTGGCACCTTCTGTTCCTTCCCTTCTTCAGGCTACACCTGCATCTGTTTTCTTAGTATTATCTCCAGCTTGCAGATAAGGTACTTAGGAATGATACTTACCTAGGGTCTCACAAGAAATCTGTGGCTGGATTGGGGAGCACTTACGGTGCTGTAAGAGCACTTCAGATCTTGCTTATCAAGTGTGTGAATTACAAAAATCAAGTAAACTGTATTATTGATCCTGTTTGTAGTCTTTTTAGTGACAGAGGTGCGTGGGAAGCTGCCTTCACAATTATGTATACAAATACTGAATTATGTGAACCCATTTGTTTAAATAAACAAACAAAAAAACCCCCAGGTCTTAGCAAATTTTATTTCCTATAATTTTTTTTACTTGATGGTTGTTGAAAAATTATTTTCACAAGCAAAAATAACTACTGGTGAGCATGACTGTGTGAGTGCTACAGGATGCACTGTGTACTCTGGTGGAGTAGAGTCATACCGTGACAGTTTTTTTGGGCAGTTCTGCCATTGCCCCTGTGTGTTGAACTCCACGTTCCTCTGCTGTTTCTGTTGTGACTCTGATCTACAGACCTAAATCAATGTACTAAAGAGCACTCTGATTTTGGGAAACCAAACATTCAGATTGTGATTACCTAGCAAAAGGAGGATGTGACCATAATGCAAGCTAAGCTGGGTTAACTTCAGTTTGGGTTGCACAAGTGACAAAAGTAGTAAAGAAAGACAATGTGAGCCTCAGGAGCGTGGAGGACTTTCCAATTCCACTAAACTATTTGTAATGTATCCACCTTCATTGTCACGGCTACCTGTTACCTGTTTGGTACATGACACGAGTTGGATTTGAACTGGTGTCTACATACAAATCATTTCATTTTGCGGCATAACCATAATGACTCCATAGGGTGTCTAGGAGGCTGCACTAAGCATGCTACATTAGTGTATTGGAGGCGGGACCAAACATGCTAAATCAAATAGGTCTGTGCCCCATATGCCAGTAAGATGTGAATTTTATAAAGTGATCAGATGTGCTGGCTAGCTCTCTGAAGAATGTATACTTCATTCTCTTTTTTTAGGAACATCAACAGCCCTTAGGATGTGTTACCGTGGTTATGGTTATCCCTTGATGCTGTTCTTAGAAGAAGGAGGAGTAGTGACAGTGTGCAAAATCAACACTCAAGAACCAGATGAGTTGTTAGACTTTGATTTCTGCAGTACAAAGGTTGTTAATAAAATCATCCTGCAGTCAGAGGGACTACGAGAAGCATTTGCCGAACTGGATATGACCAGTGAAGTTCTGCAGATTACCATGTCTCCGGATAAACCCTACTTCAGGTACGGGAAACTGTGCTTTCAACTCAGAGTTCATGCTTGGCCTCTGATGGTAAGGGCTGGAGGTTTTCAGGGTGAACAGGGGGGAGCTATTTTAGAATATTGCTTTATTTCAAGAAGAAGTGTAATGAGTATAGCAAATCACAATATGTAATCGAATTAACATAGTAATGAATATATTGACAACCTGGTAAATGTGACACTGATGTGGGCAGTTTAGCATTTTTAATTAAATAAAGCGAAACAAACAATAGTGTTTTGTGAAACAGCCACTGAGATTTGCACAATGACCTATTCTGATGAGTTTTGAGAGAGCTGTGATCAGGTATTTTGAGATGGTGCCTCTTGTCTTCCAGGTTATCCACTTTTGGAAATGCAGGAAGTGCACATCTGGACTACCCTAGGGACTCTGATTTGATGGAAGCATTCCACTGTAACCAGACCCAGACAAACAGGTCAGGATGTCTGTGATCAGTGTGGCAGGTTATGTGTTCTTGCTGGAACGTTTAATAAAACTGCTTTCGCCTTACTGTAACATTTATTTCACTAGTACAGGGGAAAAAATACTTCCCATCTGATAGAAGTCTCTGTGATCAAAAGTTAAATGATAACAATGGCTGTCTGCTGTTGTTACCAGGAAAAAATCAAATTTGCTAATTGTCGCTAATTGTTTCTCAGTGGCTTTAATTGGGAATAACGTTTCAGCTCCTCTCTTCACAATAGTGGGGTTTTTTTCTGATTACTATTTTTTTTTTTTTCCCCCCCTGCAGGTACAAGATTTCTTTGCTTAAACCATCTACAAAGGCACTGGCTTTGTCTTGCAAAGTGTCCATTCGAACAGATGCTCAAGGATTTCTTTCACTGCAGTATATGATTAGGAATGAAGATGGGCAGATCTGTTTTGTGGAATACTACTGCTGCCCTGATGAGGATATTACTGAAGCAGAACTGTAGATGTATGTTTTGGCGTCTGTATTATATTTATGGATCTACAAAATAGTATATTTTTTTATAAAACTGAATGAAAGCTGTAAAGGTGGGTAGACTTGATATTGTAATTTTTTTTTAACTTTGGAATTCGAAATATGAAGACTTTCTTTTTATTCCCTTGCAAACATTTCTTAGCTGTGACTCAAAAAGCTGAAGCTGAAAAAGCAAAAAGGGGAGTTGATCTCTTATAGCCATTGACTCTGGTGGAGATGTTAAAGTGGTGTTTGTGTGATAAGTTGCTGCTTTTTACAGTGTTCTCCAAGAATTTTTGTTTGTCTTTTGGTTTATGTCTTCTTTGGCTTGTTCTAAGCAGTTGCACAAGGGAAAATCTGAATATTAGCAGTATGTTAGCCAGTTAACTTTCAATGACTTAAAACCAAATTTGTCTTGAAAGAGGGTGACATTTTCAAACTGGTTTCTTATGAGCAGCAGGTGGTTTCTTTCTGGCAAATGCTGATGTGTTTTGCTGGTGAAGCCACTAGGCTCTTCGTCATCTTGATTGATTCTCAATATAGCTCAGTTCCTTGGAATTTTCATCTGATGCCAGTTTACCCTTTTGTCTGCAGTACTGGCGTTGAATTGGTAGATTAAGATAGAAGCCAGGATTTACTTACTCATTATGCATAACTGTTCTGGCAAAGTTATTATTTTGTATCTAGTAATTTATTACACATCTGCAAGAATGCTGCTGCTGAAATGTTTCTGTAGGTACACGTCCCTGTTCCTACCCTGCCACTCGCTACTAATGCTGTTAAGAATCATAGGAAGAGAGGAAAGTTTCATATTTGAAATTATTTGTGAAATTTGTTTACCTTCTCAGTAGCCTTTTTCAGCAACAGGAGGGACTCCTAAACAGAAGTAGAGGAATGTCTGCCTGCGTGCCGTGGAGTGGTGTATTCATATCACTGCTAAAAACGGGCCTAGCCTCACTGAAAAGGGAGTGTGGTTTCTGGGGAGCTTCCTGCAGCGCCCAGCTTTGTGACACAGTGGGGTGGGCTGTGCTTAGGTCAAAAGTTGTGCTTCTCCTTTCACACCTCTCCGTTGCAAACAACTGGCTCAAAACAGGAGTTCAACCAAACCAGATGGGCGCTGAACCAGATGGGAGAGGCTGCAGATCACGCTGCAAGAGACTGAAGTCTTTTGCCTTGCTGCCGTGGGGTGCAATCCAAGAGTTGGCGACCCGCAGGTAGCTTCTACAGCTTTAAACTGTAGTTGAGTTTTGTTGATTGTCAGAAGATGACGTCCTGCTTTGCATGTGTGGAAAAGACCATGTACATACGCTACCAAGTCGATTGCTTCACAGTTCAACAGAATCCAAGTACTTTGGGTTTAAGTTTAAAATGCTTTTCTTGACCATTTTTCACCTCTTGCAAGAGCATACTTTCAGAGTACACAGTGTCAACAGTTTGCTTTTGTTGTCTTCCATGCAGCTTGTCCATTTATTGCAATAAATTTTACATTTGAAAAACAGTTACGAATCTTTGAACTACAGGACTGATAAAGATACCTAATAATAATCTAAATTACTCTTATTTACCTCCCCTGCCCCCAATTTAAATATTCAGTATAGGTGAACTTCCTTTTGGCTTATTGTCTCAGTTTCTTCAGTGAAAAAAAAGAATTATTATGGTCTCATTGGGAATTATTAGTATTAACCCTGACTACTGAGTATCAAGAATGATTTACATAATCTCTGGGTGACAGGATAAAAATTAAACCGAACACATCGCTTTAAGAAAGTGGTTTATTTTAGATTATCAGCATTCCTTGTATTGTGTTCAAGGACATTGCTGTGGCTTAACATTTGTACTGTTTATATAAATGCCTATAGATGTAATATATTACTTCTTAAATTACTACTTTTAACAATTTAACCTACCAATAGTGATTGTGGAAATAATACCCTAGAAATTTAGAACACCACAAAATACCAGAAAGGAACCGTTGCACGTCATGAATACTGGCTATTACAGACATGCACGATTTGGGCGAGGCTGGCGTCTGCACCCCCCTGGACCACGTCAGGGCCCAGACTCGCTGAGGTGGGGAGGTGCTCGTGCACATCGTGCCTTTGTGGTGTGGTTCTAGGTGAACAAAAACGCGAAGTCTGGGCTACAGACTCCCTGCAGTAAGGCAAGGAGTGGATTTAGGGTCCACCTACAATGGATTCTGTTACATCTCTGCCTTCAAATGCAGTAGAATAAAAAGGGTGAAGAGAATGACTGGGAGGCCACTGTCTCTCCTTTTGACCTGGTAAGTTGATTAAATTCTGCAGACCTCCACTGCTGGATTACGTTTAATTCCCTACCATGCTTTGCATGAGATCCAGAACTCGGGTGGCTGTACCTTTTGCATGTTTTATCTCTTCTATGCGATGTGTCTTTTTCCCCTTGCAGACAAAGGGAAACCTGCAGTAGAGGAAACGTGAGTTTTTACTGGTATCACAGAACGGACTTGTCATGACTCAGATTTTGCCCACCTTTGCTTTCTTATAAAATGCTACGTATAAGTGCTCAGAATTACTGGTGGTGTAAACCAAAACCAGTTCCTGGAGCTGGGAGCTGGAACCAGCATTTTCCACCCGGATTCAGTGTAGGTGTAGTGTGTGCTCCCTGGCTGCTCACCTGCTCTGCGTGGGGCTCTGGGCAACCAAGATCCAGAGGCCACAAACTTGATGGGTGACTTTTCCTCCCGTTATCTTGATTTGTGCTTTTCAGAGTAAGAACTGGCCTCAAGTCTTCAAGAAGGCAGCTCTTTTATTCTACCTGAAAACCCACTGCCAACAGGCCTTGGGTCCCATCGGTCTGCAAAGGTACTGAAGGCCAAAATACTGACTTTGGCTCCTCGTCCTGACAAGCTGCATGCAAACACCGCCGGTGCCGGTGGTATCTTACCCGCCAACACATTGAGAAGTTGTCGTGTCTCTCTGGCTTTCACATGCTGAGGCCCATCCACAACCTTCTGGATCTGTAAAGACTGTTTGAGCACAAAATTCACCCTGTCGTGGTTTAACCCGGCTGGCAACTAAGCAGCACGCAGCCGCTCGCTCACTCCCCCCTCCCTCAGTGGGGTGGGGGAGAGAATCGGAGAAAAGAAGAAGTAAGACCCATGGGTTGAGATAGAGACAGTTTAATAAGAAAGAAGAATAACAATAGTAATAATAATAGTAAGAGAATATACAGAATATATAAAACAAGTGATGCACAATGCAATTGCTCACCACCCACTGACCGATGCCCAGCCGTCCTGGCTGTGCTGTACTCCCAGCTTGTTATGCACCTGGGCAAGCAGGAGAAGCTCAAAAAGTCCTTGAGTAGTCTGAGCACTACTTGGCAACAGCTTGAAAACATCAGTGTGTTATCAACATTCTTCTGGTACTAAATCCAAAACACAGCACTATGCTAGCTACTGTGAAGAAAATTAACTCTGTCCCAGCCAAAACCAGGACACCCCCAAAGGACTCAAGTCCTGTACTTCTGTTTCAAAGTTAGTCATGGGAAAGAATGGGTTGTTTAATTAGGTATGAATTTATAAGGAAATATGTTCTTGTATTCTTGACTAGATGGGTTTTCGGTGAGGGTAGCAGAGTACTTGGGAAAGTTGAGATAAACCACGTGCTGTTTCCTGTAGGTGTCTGTTTTTGAACTTCGTTTCGCAGCAGCTTGTAAACCCCTAGGAATCTTACCAAAATAGGTACGTAGAAATCGTGTAAATAGATCAAGTAACACTAAACAGTGGTTTTGCTGATGGAACACTAACATTAAACTGAACAAATATGGATTTATTTTAAAAACAGAGCTATTACAGAATGGAGGCTTGATGCCTTCCTGTTGAGACAGAAACTTATTTTTATATGGATCTGTCTTTTGGGGAGGCAGGACTGCTTTGGTGTAAATGGAAGCTGAGGACCACAATAGGCTGCTTCAGCCTCTTTCTACCCCGCTTCTCACCTTAGCCGGGCTCTAACAACTGGGAGGGTAGTGCATTAGCAGTGCTAAATCTAATGGTAAGGGCCCTACAAGGGGGTGAGCATTGCAGTGAAGGGTAATCAGGTGCCCACACAGCTCTTAATGTCTTTGTGGAGTTAACAGACAGTGAGAAGTGGGCTTCAATACGCACCACGAATGTGAATGTCATTCTGTGCGAGTATCCTGGGCCTCCATGGAGAGAGACATCCAAAGGAAGCCTAGAACTGAACGGCACAACAAAGAAATCCAGGAAGATCTCCCTTTTTGTTAGACCTTTGAAAATCTGCCCCCGCGGAGGGCAGAGGGACAGTGGGAGTTTAGGTCCCTCTGGAGTGATGGCACGCAGCAGTGTTCAGTGAGTTTGGGTCAGCACTTCGGAAATCCCCTGACCCCAGTCCCCTGAGCCCAATCATTTATTTTGCAGGTCAAAACCCCAGTGACCACCGGTCAAAACACTAGACATTAAACTTGCTCTGTGGGTGGCTGGGTCTTGCAGACAAGCCTGGAGGGGGTGTTGGGTTTTCTAGTATCCTGGCATGAGCCTGGGGGAAGGGACGATGAAAGCTCTCCATGGAGAATTTAGCAGCCTCCTACCCTTCCAGCTCAGAGGGACTGTGGGGTTGACCAAAAATAAGCCAGCCAGCAAGCTGGAGGCCTCAATATATTTCCTATCTTTATCTAATTAGGTAACAAATCTACCCGTACATGTGTGTGGATTTTACCCCGCAAATGCCAATAGAATGCAGCAATGTATTTGCACCCTGTCAGGCAGCGACTGCAGGGCACTTGCAGCAGCACCAAGCTGCAGTGCCTCTGAAAACCAGACAGACGTCCAAGGGGACAGACTCCTCTTAGGATTTCATACACAGCTCAGCGCAGTCCAGAAATCAGAGGAGCAAGCGTTAAGGTGCAGACCTGCTCCCACGAACCCCAGCAGCGCAGGCTGAGGGCCCCAGTGGTGGATCCCAGGCCATGCCTGCCCATGCAGATGCTGCATGAGATGCTCCTGGGCATGGAGGGGATGGGGCGCTGAGCAGCTGGGGTTTGCGCTGCGGAGGCCTCACCTTGCAAGGTGCAGGGCCACCTGCAAAGAGGGGTGGGCTGATCCAGAGCTGTGCCGGCCAGTTATTTGCAAAAACTGCTGGTTGGCCTGGGCCGACACCATGGCAAGGCCCACCCCAAGTAGTGTAATGATAGGGGTCGTCTCATTCTAGCATCCAAGAATATTCCCAGCCACTTTTTTACAGGCGTAGCCTAATGAGTCACCAAGAACATGTTTCTTCTCCCCATAGTTTTACAGTAAGCTGTTTACTTCGACACAGAGACCTCTGTCTCTCTTAAATGCTGCCATCAGCTGGTCAGAGATGCTCACTCATAAACTAAATAGAGGTGTGAAACAGGTCCCAGAGGAGCTGGGGTAAACCCAAGCTGCTACCTGGTCGCAGCATGGGGGAGCGTGTTCCCCACAAGCAGCCACTCTGTGGAGGTGACCAGGTCCCAGGAAGGCTCCCAGAAGGCGCAGGCTGCACAGAGCTGCTCAAGGGCAGGCAGTGTAGCTGCACGCCCCCCTCTTCTGTGCTACAACCCAGGCTGGGAGATCATGCATGGCTTTAATTATGCAGATATTTGGAAGGGAACCTCCTGCCAGAGACCCATCAGCCAAAGCATCTGTGGAGGAAACTCTGCCAGCGTGCCACTCAACAGTTGTCGGACGCTGACGTGATTTCTTCACGTGGCAGCAAAGGCAGGAATTTTAGAAGTGTTGTGACTACCACGCAGCCACCTTCAGGCAGTGCAGCTCTTTGGGGTGGTCCCGCTCCCCCTCCCTGCTCCCAAACCCTCTGCACACGTGCTGCGGGGATGAGGCAGGAGGAGCACTACTGGGGCGCAAGCTGCCCCCCCCCCGTCCCCAGGCACAGGGACCCCACTAACCCCAACACTGCAACCTTCCAGCAGGCACCCAGCTCTGCGACATCTGCACAGGCATGTCTGCGCCTGGCCCTGCAACACCTGCCTCTGAAACACCTGGCCAGCTGTGCTCGCACCCAGCTGTGGCCCCACCAGCTGCTGAATGCAGCGCTGCTTTTTTGGGAGCAAGAATAGCAAGAGCCCAAAGGAGCCATTTCTAGGAATGGGGCAGTGCAGGCCTTTGTGTTTGTGCCTTCACTCCCCTCACTGTTTTCCAGCTGCAAGGGAGGTTTAGAGGGGAAGAAATGCCAGGTTTAGCTCTGTCCCTCCCCTACTTTTTTCTC